TCGAACCTCCATAACATATCGTTTGCACTTTCTATCCCTTTTACTTTCGCTTTTATATTTTTGCTTATTATTTGAATTAATCTATTTAGTCTTTACTTGGTTGAATTTAGATTAATTCTTCGAAAAAGTATTAAAAACCAATTCACCCCCTTCTTGATTAGTTATTCTTGGGCTATCACCTTCATCTTCAAAGTTCATCTAATTTGATTCCTGTAGTCTTCAATCATCATCTTTGATCCGAATCAACTTTTAAACGTTTGTAATTTAATCCCTCAACTTTGGTATTCTTCCTTATTATTGTCCTTTGACCGATTTTTACTTCTTTTCATCGAAAGCGATTCAAACTCAAGTTTATCCTACAAGAACCAATATTTAACTAAATTACATAGCAATCTCCGACACGAATCAATGGCCGAAGAGCATCAGTGACATGAAGTGGGGCTATGGGCGTAGCAAACCAAATCAAACCAAACCAAACAAAACCAAACCAAAGAGGAAGGGCAAATAATTGACTCTCAAATATTCATTTTTGAAGGTCCGAATGAGTGTAAAAGTATACGTATCAATTGGGTTAAAAGTTTGGCCCCCATTTTTTTTTTTTAAAAACTCATTTTTTCAAAATTCATTTTCAATTACACACACTTATAAAATAATTTTACACATAAATCAAACTTTTCTTTTCCTTTTTAACCACACATTTTCGAAAAATTCACTATTCCAAAATATTTTTTTCTTACCAAAATGAGGTTCAAACATGGGCTAAGTTAAAGTTTCCTGTAAAACTTTTTTTACACTCAAATTTGGGCTTCTCTAAAACAACATTTTAAGCTATTTTTTACCAAATAATATTTTGATTTTTATAAAACAACTATGTTGTTTTTGATACACAACTTTTTCCCTGGAAAATGGATTTTTTTTTTCATTTCCATGCAAAAGAGGTGTTTGATGGGAGAAATTTGGCAAAGAAAAATTTTCCACCCCCCACCCCACACTCATTCTTTCCTTTTTTTTTGTTTGGGAAAAACTTTTCTGGGTGGCTGCTGCCATTTTTTTTTTTTTAGAATGAAAACAAATTTCATAACTATTTATAATTTTTTTTCACTTTAATAGACAATTTTCATGTAAAATAAAGCCAAACGAATACTAAACTTTGATTTTTTTTAGAAAAAAAATTTCTTTTTTTTTTTTTAAACTTTTTGGCAATGAAAACAAATTTTATAACTAATTGTGGAAAAATAATTTCCATGTAAAACTAAGCCAAACGAACACAAAATTTAAAAATTTTCCACCCAAAAAATTATACAAATTAAACATACTTAATTAACAATTTTTTGCAAAACAATTTCTAGCCAATTACTTTTCCTGGAATTTATTTTCTTTTCACCCATTTTCTACTCTTGCAATCAAACGGACCCCTAATGTTAAATGTTTTAAACAAAAGAGCTTTTGACATAAAAAGAAAAAAAAAAGTACTTTTTTTTTAGGGTTTGAAAAAGCTCTCGCGATCTCCCTCTCGGAGTTTTGAGTGCAATCTTAAATTCAAGAGGGGAGGGAAATGCATTGATTGGATAAAATAGCTGATTGGGCTTTTTCAAATTCGATTGGAGATGTAATCTCACAAACCTTCAGACTAGAACAATGACTTGAAATGATTTTTTTGGGCTAGCCCAATACTAGTTACCTTAACCTTTTTAGGAATCTAGCCCATATCCACACAGCCCAGCCCAAATTTAAATCCACATTGAAATTTTTTACTTGTATATATAGACAAGCCCTCGGGCTCTGAATCCATTCGTACTCTCCCAATCTTTTGTACGTCAAAACGTTAATAACTGTTCTTGCCCAATTCCGAAACCCTAGATCCTCCTCCTTGTCAATTCAAGGTAATATTTACGAAAATCTCCTTTATTTCTTTTATTTTTTATTTTTTTATTTATTAATCGAGGGTGTATTTGGAATTTAATTACAGATGGTGTCGGACGCAAGCAAGAAGAAGGCAGCGCAGAAGAAGGCGGCGGCTGTGGCCAAGAGAGGAGGCAAGGCGGCGGCCTCCTCCTCATCGAAGACGGCTGAGAATGGAAGTAAAGTCGATAATCTGGCGAATGAGGTCGAAGCGCTTCAGATATCCGATCGGACATGTACCGGGGTTTTGTGCTCGCATCCGCTTTCCAGAGATATTCGGGTTAGTTTTCAGATCCAATTTCAGTTTTGGTTCTGATGAATTTCTTCTTTTTTTTTTGGCTTTTTAAATTTAAGATATCTTGGTTTGTTTTGTTTACATTAGAAGCCTTATTTTTTTTTGAGAATTAGTTGAGGTTTCAAGATCTAGTCTTTATATATATTTATGTAGGATTTCATTGTTAAAGTGTTTATATTCTGTTTTGTATTATTTTGTGGATATTATTAAATTATGATAATTCTGCTCTGCTCGTCCTTTTCAATGTATCTTAGTTGGAATGTTTTGAGTTATCACTTGATTGTTTTGTTGATCTGTTTCGTTTCTCATGTCTATTATCTTGTTTTAAAGTTTCATTTAGAGCCAATGTTTTGGGATGCTCATAAGACGAACAAAGTTATCACTTGTAGCTTAACTTTTGCATCAACCTCTTGGCAGTTTTTGAACTGTTATAATTGAATTTTTAATGTTATCATTTTATTAACTGGAAAAGCAGTGGACTATAATAATAATAGGAGAAATATATGTATTTTGTTGTCTGGAAAACAATAGTTGATAAATATTTAATGTAAAATATTGAGTAATTGGATGTCTAGAAGGATCTGAAACTTAACTCCTAAGAAGGTAACATGGGATGTATTGCTGTCTGGGGGTTATAGTCTCATTTTTAACTTATGGCTGGTAGTTTGGTGAATGAATATGATGCCTCTGTTATGTCCAACATCTACCACGTTGTTGGGATACAAGAATAGGAGGTAATTTTGTATGCCAAATATTGTGCAATTGTAACTGTTATGGAGTACCCCTACAAGGGTTTTGTGTTTAAAATGACGACATGTTGATTTATCTATGGTTTGTGCTTTTTGCAGATTGAATCTCTATCGCTCACTTTTCATGGTCATGATCTAATTGTTGATTCTGAGCTGGAACTCAATTATGGCAGGTGTGTTTTGACTTCACCACTCCAGGATGTTGTGATGTATTATGTTATTCCCCATTACTCTATTTTTAATCCTCCTTATATTCAGGCGATATGGTTTGCTTGGGTTAAATGGATGTGGGAAGTCTACTCTTCTTTCTGCAATTGGGTGCCGAGAACTTCCCATTCCAGAGCATATGGATATTTTTCATCTTACTCGGGAGATCGAAGCTTCTGACATGTCCTCTCTTGAGGCTGTCATAAGTTGTGATGAAGAAAGGTTGAAATTAGAGAAAGAAGTTGAAGCCTTGGCTGGACAGGTATGATTATCTGACCCAAAGAATAGTAGTGCCCTAGAAAGAGAAGCATATCGGGAAGTGCTTATTTAGTGTTTTCGTCTTAGGATGATGGTGGTGGTGAACAACTTGATCGCATTTATGAACGTTTGGATGCATTAGATGCATCAACTGCCGAGAAGCGTGCTGCTGAGATCTTATATGGTCTTGGATTCAACAAGAAGATGCAAGCAAAGAAAACGCGAGATTTTTCTGGTGGCTGGAGAATGAGGATTGCTCTAGCGAGGGCACTATTCATGAACCCCACCATATTGTTGCTTGATGAACCCACAAATCATCTCGGTAAGCTTGCTGAGTCAATACAGATTGCTTTGAGATATAGATAACATGCATGTTTATTGCTACGAGTCTATGTTTATTTATATTGGTGGATTTGTGGTTCAGCATATAATCAGATTGCTTTGTGGTATAGATAACATGCATATGGCAATGAGTTAAAAAGTTGGTCTATCTTGATTTTCAGTTCAGTATATCGTACTGCGGCGGTCACTTGGTTTTGGAATTTGAAATATATGATAAATGGTTGATGATATTATGCTTGCTATGGGCAAGACTGTTGCATATGAAACTCAACTATTTTGTTGCTTCGTTATGCTGACTTTTGATGAAACCACAAATTATCTTGGTAAGCTTCTTGAGTAGTAAAGGTTTCCATACCAATATGGACAACAAAGAGGAATATCTATTGTTGATTCATTTTTAAATATATATTACAATAATGGATTGATGGTACTTGTATTATCTTTCCCCTTCAATTGAACTTAGTTGATTTATTTATTGCAAAACCTTATTAAGATCTCAAATGCCCTATTATTTTCATATAGCCCCCGTTTGAAACCCATTTTTTTCTCATTCTCTTTTTTTTTTCTCTTTCTTCATTTCAACCACACATTCTATCAATAAAATAATACTACACAGAAACCAAAAAATTTTCATTACTTTCAACCACATATTCTTCCATCAATCACTATTCCAGAATTTATTTTTTCTCCAAAATGGGTGTCAAACAAGGGGCATAATCTTCTAATTAATGCCAAACCTCCTTATCGGATTGTATGTGAGAAATGTTTGGGAATTGTATATTCAATGATGAACTAATACTGATCAACGTATATTCTAGCATATAATTCGAATATATTCTCTTAATAATGTCGGGCCTCCCTAGACAATGATGGTGCATGTTCAAGATATTTTAACAATCTATTGTTCTTAAAGTATTGCTGTTGAAGCTTGACAAGAAACTTCTCTCCATTGCAGACTTAGAGGCTTGTGTCTGGTTAGAGGAAATGTTGAAGAAATTTGATCGAATTCTGGTAGTGGTTTCACATTCTCAGGATTTTTTGAATGGAGTCTGTACTAATATCATCCATATGCAAAATAAGTCGTTGAAAATCTACACCGGTAATTATGACCAATATGTTCAAACACGATCTGAACTTGAAGAGAACCAGATGAAACAGTACAAGTGGGAGCAGGAGCAGATAGCGTCAATGAAGGAATACATTGCACGTTTTGGTCATGGGTCTGCTAAACTTGCTCGTCAGGCACAGAGCAAAGAGAAAACTCTGGCAAAGATGGAGCGTGGTGGGCTCACAGAGAAAGTGGTCAGGGACCAAGTTCTGGTTTTCCGATTTGTTGATGTGGGGAAGCTCCCTCCTCCTGTTCTTCAATTTGCGGAAGTAACTTTTGGCTACACGCCTGATAATCTCATCTACAAGAACCTTGATTTTGGGGTAGACCTTGATTCTAGAGTGGCACTGGTAGGACCCAATGGGGCTGGGAAGAGTACGCTACTGAAATTGATGACAGGCGATTTAGTTCCTCTTGATGGCATGGTGCGGCGTCACAACCACTTGAGGATCGCTCAGTTCCATCAGCACTTAACTGAGAAACTTGATATGGAATTATCTGCACTGCAGTTCATGATAAAAGAGTACCCTGGAAATGAGGAAGAGAAGATGCGGGCAGCTGTTGGGAGGTTTGGGCTTACCGGTAAAGCTCAAGTGATGCCCATGAAGAACTTGTCAGATGGTCAGAGGAGCCGAGTTATTTTTGCATGGTTAGCTTGGAGACAACCGCACATGCTGCTGTTGGATGAGCCAACTAACCATTTGGATATTGAGACAATTGACTCCTTGGCAGAGGCTTTGAATGAATGGGACGGTGGCTTGGTTCTTGTTAGCCATGATTTTAGACTTATAAACCAGGTGGCCCAGGAGATATGGGTGTGTGAAAATCAGGCTGTGACTCGGTGGGAGGGTGACATTATGAAATTTAAGGAGCACTTGAAGGCAAAGTCTGGTTTGTCTGATTGAACCAGATTAATGTGATAGGTGGACTTGTTTCAGAATTAAGCTATACAGCCACTAGATATCCTGGCTATAGCTTTCGATGCAGTGCATCAAGAATATTTCGAATTTTTTTTGCAAGTGGATTATGACGAAAGCCAAGGGAGGGGATAGAAGTTTGTAGCTTCTTCATTGTTTTGAGTCTGAGCCTTTACTTCTACAGCCAATTACAAGCTGAGTTCACTTTTACTTTCTCTGTAATGGATTTATTATATTTTTGCCCTTATTATCATTGTTAGCGACCTAGTGAGAGAAGGCGGCCCCCATGAATATTTTTTTGTGGAGCGAGTCAGGCTGTATCTATTACATTCTATATGAATTTGATTGTTGTAGTTGAATATTATCATGATTTATTGATATGACTTATCTTATTATATGACCGTGAGGCCAAGCATTTGGTTGATTTCTTTTTTGTCAAGTCGTAGTTTGGTTGATTCTGCATCGTGATGCTGATGGTCCATGTGTGCAGTTTTCGATCAGTGAAAGTTACTGCAAAAAGGGGAGAAATGGTACAAATTGAAAAAGAGTGATGCTATTCATGGTTAACGACTGCAGATGACTTCACCTGCCTAACAAACGCATCTCACCACCCAAACCCTCTCAATCACAGGGAATCATGCCACGGACTAGAGTCCATTCTCCACCAAAAACAAACAAGTAACTGTGACAACTCATGAGGAAAAAAAACTCAAATATAAAAGCAAAAGTTACATTAAAAATGATAAAAATGGGACAACACGGCCCGAGCAATGCTGAGACTCCGGATGCCTCCATGAGCGGTGTCAATCTTGTAGCCGAAAAAGGAACAGTAAAGTGGCAATGGACTCAAAATGACTAGCTGCCAGCTCATCAAAATCAATGAGCCGGTGGTAGATAGCGGTAGTCTTTGGTAGAGGTGGAGCCTAGGGTTTTGATTTGGGACTGCGCTAAGCCGCTAAGTGTATTCTCGGGTACAGACTACCTCACAAGAGGGGGATCCACAATTTTTTTTATTGGTCGTGGCCCCGCTCCTCCTCTTGTGAGAGTGTCAGTACACTAGTGTGTACAAATAGAAAAATCATTTGATTTGTGAATGGCTAGATTATCACTGGAAAAACAGGTGGTGGTGGGTCGTTCGTTATCGAAGAGCCAAAATAAGAGGGCTTGTGTTGCAAATAGGAGATAATTATTTGGATTTACTAGAGTTTTTGTACCTCCTGATTTTTCTTGTTCTCTTTGTTAATTGTTTAAAGACTGAAAATTGAACGCTTCTGGTAAAGTTTACGAGTTTTTCTTACAATTTGGGCGTGTAAAATTCTATTTAATTGTACAAATTTTTAATATAAATGAACTTGCCTTGATTCCGCAAATAAAAAAAATGGTTGTTTTATTAATTAAATATATTGAATTTCTAGTTTTTTATTCATTTAAATAGTCAAGTTTGAATCTCACATCAATTTGTATTCCATATTCCTGTAGCCATCACTTAGGAAGAACCATTAGCGAATATATCCTACTCTTACGCTTGTCCATAGCTTGACTAAACTGTATTTAGACCTATTCCATCTAACCACAAAGATTCGCACAATTCTCTACCACCTCCACCTCCACCACCACCACTAAAAGAACAGAAATATATCGTTCACCCCGTTGTCTACCATCTCCGCCTCCATCCAACCCTACCCAAATAAATCCCAGAGAAATGGTTGATACAACCCAAAATCCCCATGCAATCTTAGTAACCTACCCACTACAAGGCCATCTAATCCCGTCCGTTCATCTAGCCATCAAGCTTGCATCAAGAGGCTTCACCATCACATTCATCAACACTAAATCCATACACCATCAGATCTCGAGCACGGCCGAAGATTCTGGCGAAGACATCTTCGCTGCAGCCCGGAAAACGGGCCTCGATATTCGTTACACTACCGTCTCTGATGGCCTTCCATTAAAATTTAACAGGTCACTCAATCGGGATAAGTTCAATGCTTCATTATTGCATGTTTTCTCCGCACATGTAGAAGAGGCTGTTGAAGAGATTGTGAAAGGTGCAGAACCTGCAGTGAGTTGCTTGATTGCTGATACATTCTTTGTGTGGCCAGGGAAAATGGCAAAGAAATATGGACTTCTATATATTTCTTTCTGGGCAGAACCTGCTTTGATTTTTACATTATATTATCATCTCCATCTTTTGAGGTTAAATGGACATTTTGGTTGCATTGGTTAGTCTGTCTGTCTGTCTGTCTCTCTCTCTCTCTCTCTCTCTCTCTCACACACACACACACTCACATTGAATAAATTTATCTACTTGGAGTATGGTTCCATGATAAAATTGGAACCTCCTGTTTTTGCTTGTCGGAGGCCGTCATGTAGGTGCCTTTCTAGAACTTGCATACCCAGTTAGGATTCGTTCTCACAGTGGAGGAGGAGACTGAAGGGACACATTTATTTTTCAAAATTTAAGCTACGACAGTTTATCACTCTGTAAAGCACTAAATAATAGCGATAATTATACATCTTCAATTCAATGATATGGAAAATTTTGATTTGATTTGTGTTATTTCTATTCTGTATTTCATGAAGATTTGCGTGAGGATCCAATCAATTACATCCCAGGCGTAGACTCACTAGAACCGAAAGATTTGGCTTCATATCTTCAAGAGCCGAACACAACAACAGTGTGTCGTCGCATCCTCTTTGGTGCATTCGATGATGTAAGGGCAGCAAATTATGTGCTCTGCAACACAGTGCAAGAACTTGAACCTAAGACCATATCGGCCCTACAAGAGAGAATAAAGTTTTTCGCAGTGGGGCCCATCTTTCCACCCAGGTTTACAAAGAGCATTGTCCCCACCAGTCTCTGGGCTGAGTCAGACTGCACCAGCTGGCTAGACTCCAAGCCACATGGCTCAGTTTTGTTTGTGTCTTTTGGTAGCCATGCAGATATTACAAAGAATGAACTCGAAGAAATAGCCCATGGTCTTCTACAAAGCAATGTGAATTTTATTTGGGTTCTAAGGCCTGATTTAGTAACTTCTAATGATGAAAAAAATCTATTGCCAGATGGGTTCCAGCAGGAGGAAACCGGTGATCGATCAATGATCGTGCCATGGTGCTGTCAAATACAAGTGTTGGCCCATCCGGCCATACGGGGGTTCTTGACACATTGTGGTTGGAACTCAATATTGGAAAGCATTTGGAGTCAAGTGCCATTGCTATGTTTCCCTCTGAATACTGATCAATTCACTAATCGAAAATTAGTGGTTAATGACTGGAAAATCGGGATTAATTTATGTGAAAGAAAGCCGGTAACGAGGGTTGAAGTTTCCAAGAAAATTAAGCAACTAATGATGGGAAAATCAGCTGATGAGTTAAGCCATGCAATCAAGGAAGTGACCAAGACACTAGAACAAGCAGTAGCAACTGATGGATCATCAGAAAAGAATATGGATCAGTTCATTCAAGAACTGACGGTTAAAATTCAAAACAAGGGACGGCCTATTGTTGCAAAACACTAAGGTTTGTTTAGAAGGGAATTTTTTTTTTTTTTAAATCAATTTCAACCCCGCATTCCATGGAACTTGTAACTTTTCTACTTTTTAACTAAGCATTTTCCAAAAAAAATCATTTTCCACTAGAAAGAAAACGCCCCCATTAAAAATGACTGTCCAACATGTCACTTATATTTTGGGCATTTTATAATACTATTACTTGTGCTGTTTCTAGTCCTAGAAATAGGTTATTTTTGTTTATCTTTGAGGAGATTGTTTACTTTTCCTTTTACGAGATGTGGGTAAAAGGCTAATAAAATTAGAAGATTACCTCGATGCTTCAAGAAAATTAGAAATATCCTGTCATCATTCAACTTTATTATTCAATTAACTATAGCAAATTGAGTATTCCAAAAATCAACAATTAGACTAGTAAATTTTATTGTTTTTCCTTTCTTTTTCTTTTTATTGTCTGAGATTTAGTTTTATCAGCTAGTTGATATTGTATCCATCCTTTTTTAAGATTATTTGATGTGTTTCTGCATATAAAGAAATTACATCTAATGAAAGTCTCATTCTATTTACATAAGTTTTCAACAAACAAATGTATTATTGTAACATCGATGGGGGCCTTCTGTGGGAGAGAGTAATCGTTCTAGCGAATAACACCACCTTCAAGTTGTTCAAAGAGTTAAAAGAAGGTCAATAACGAAAACTATAACCCGAGGACAACATGTATAGAGGCAAATAATCATTCATAGATTAAAATAAGTGCACAATATTTGCTGCTTCAGTACCCAACTCAACCATCTCCTGTAGAATTTTAAAACAATAACCAGGCATCGACTGGGTAAACTTGTTTTTATCTTAGACAAAATTGCTGAGAAGAATGACAAACATGGACCACAAAAGCTCAACTTTTTGTTAATCATATAAAAAGCAGTAGAAACTACAGCTCAAAAGTTTCTGAGCGTATATCACTTATCTTGGACTCTTTGTTTCTCGACTACACTTCAAAAATCTATGCACAGATAAGGTATTTCTGACACGAAATTGTAGCAGAACAAAAACAAGAATGCGGTATCCAACAGCCATCAGAAACAACACTAGTAAATTTTCCCACCTGGAGTTACTGTCCTGCGATATGTCGTACACGTTTCGAAGAGCCTGATAACCGGATATGGTCCTTACCTGGCCAACTGCAAAGGAAGTTCCAATGTACTCATTCTCCAAGAGTCCCTGAAGCAAAAGAAACTTCTTCATTCAGATTGATAATCAGTATCAACATCCTTGATAACAGATACTGGTATTTGCAAACAGAACTAAAAAGGAGAAAATGATATGCAACATCACTTAAACGCATAGCCATTATAACCCGAACATTGCTAATTACCATATATAGACAATTTGGAAAGAACAAAAAAGGGTAAAAACTCATCCCCTTTTCCTAATACTTCTAAAAATGCGCACCTTTGATGCAAAACAGCCACAAGAAAAATAAAAAGAAAAGAGATAAACACCCTACTCACGAGGTGAGGAGGAGATGCAGGTTTGCCATTTTTTTCTTTCTTTGTTCTGTCTATTTACATCTTTAATTTATTTTCAACATAATTATTCATGGTTACCCATTTTATTTCTCTAAGCAGTGAAATCAATACATATGCATTTCAAGCAAGGACAGTTTCTGTCTGCTGGGGATGGAGCTGCCAAAAAGCTGAAAGGTTGAGGATCCAGCTGCAAAAATATAGGTTAAAGACTCATTTGCAAAATTTACTAGTTGAGGATCTCCACTGATACCTTCCTACATATTATTTTAGGTGTTACAGGTGATGGAAAAGTTGGCATGGTTTATAATATACAAATGTAGAAACAAACTTGCCTGGACCGCGTAAGTGTGGAAAGCAATATAAGAAACAGGATACATCCATACTGGTTTGGGCAAAGCACTTCGTATTCTAAAATACCCGGCCGAAAGCATCATTACCACCTGAGAGGGAAACCGATATTAACTTTATTGAAATAACTCTCAATTACATTAAAGGAAAATCAAGACAAGCTACCAATCAAAAGATATGGATACAATTTAATAGATAGTAAGACAATATTTGTGAAAATTTGTAGATGTGTTAAACATGTACATTTTTATATAAGATAACATTTTCTTCATATAAAAACAATCAAGTGGGATGAAACTTACATGCACATTCAACAATATTAAGATGCTCCAGAAGATGTCTTGACAAATGCAAGAAACGAACAGGACTAGTCCCTCATTTACTAGAAGACAAGCGAAGAAATTCAGCACAAAGTACATCAACAAGCTGAACTGATCTCTCAGCCCGATCAGGAAGTAAAAGACGAGACTTGATGAGATGGAGATGAGAAACACGAATGGGATACTGGAGAGAAGTTGTCCGAGTAAAAAGACTAATGTCCCAGAATGCCAGTTTGATTGCTCACATGCATAAATCTGCATAACAAAGAGCCACTCAAAATGAATTAATATAACAAAGGATCATGCAAGTGCAATGCTCTGACTGCTTAGAAATAAGATGCTCAATGCCATGTTTGAAACAGTATTAAGGAAGAAAAACAAATAAATATTGCCAAGCCCCTGTTTGGTGTAGATTTAAATTAGTTTTTTACTAGATTTTGATAAAAGTTGATGAAATGTGTGGTCAAAAAGTTGTGAGTCCCAAGAAATGCGTGATTAAACTAATTGTTGACTTTGACTTAGGATTAAAATATAATTTTAATCTATATTAAACAGGGGCCTAATATACTAGTACTTTTAACCTAGTCCATTACTGCGATACGTCTCCTTCTCCTTCATACCAAATGATGTAATATGCTTAGAGATCTTAAGTCAACAAGAATTATACCTATTTATGTTTTGCATCAACAGAAGGAAATCAGAGACATCATTTTCTGGATGCAATTTTGAAACTTTTAATGAGTAAAATAACTCAAACGCAACCCATTTAAAAGCCTCAAATCTACCTATGAAAGCTTGACGATCTCACAACTTTAGAGGTTAAAAGTACATTTCTGGAAACATGACTCTGCTTGAATTTGTACTAGGCTTCAGGATCATCCATTAGGTTACAGTATTCATTGCAACTGTGAAAAAATTGATTTTCTTCAATTCACATGCGTCCAACAACCATTTATGCAATTAAAATTCAATTTAGGTACATCAGATATTAATGAACTACATCTTACATTTGAGCTTTCAATAATTTCGACTATACTCATAATAATTGTTTGAGAAAACTTCACGTAGTATGTGGTGTATAAATATCAAAGATGTAATGAAGTATTTCAGACATGAAATTCAAGTACTGCAATTTATGTCTTTATTATCAACAGACGATAGAACTACTTTTCACCAACAACAGTTACAAGGAATAAAAAATTTCTAGAGTATAATGATATACCCAAAGAGCCTCTTCGAAGATTACTGAACACCACTGGTATTACCAAGAAGCAAGCTAGCAGAAAATAAAAGTTTTCACAAACAAAAAGGATTATGAATTCTCATTACCTTGATCTCTTTCAGCTGTGCAGGCACACCAGCAATACTCAGAATAGAAGAAAACGATACAAACACAAAAATTGCTGCAACTCTTGTCTGCAGTTTATTAAGTATGTAATATGTTAATCAGAAGGAAAGTATAATACTAGATAGAAGCAGGAACAAATGATCATGTGCAAGAAGACAAAAAGAAAATAACGTGAAAGACAAAGACGTCCTCATAAGATAGTACGAGTCTCATATCTAATTGCTAGGTCTTTTGTTTTGTCATTTACATCATTTTATTGCCTGCAAGTCAATCGCATGCCTGCATTGTGAGTGGGTGGGTTGGGGTCTTTATCTTCCTTTTCATCTACTCCCTCTTTGTTCCAAATTGAAGGCCTTCGTTTGGATAAATGTCACCCGCAAGCAGGTAGAACAGATGATAAGTAGAGGCCATGAATTTTAATTTTCAAATGATAATTTTATTTTATTAAATGCAGTTTGAACAGTCTAAGAATGAGGTCGTGTAAAATCTGGACAATTTTCGACATATCCAGAGAGGAAAGGCCAATGATTTTGAAATAGGAGTGAGTCATCTGTATTGCATGAACACTTCAGCTAGAGTGGCATATCCGTGTCCGACATGTGTTGGATATGGGGGCTCCTCGGACACTCTACCATGGTCATTTTCTTTCTTTATCAAGAATATTATATATATTTAACTCAAAATTATTATTAACTAACAAATATGTGCTCACGTTTGACAGATTTCAACAAGAAAAATTAATAAAAACTATAAAACCAAATTTCTACTATATAAATTAAGAATTTTAAAAAATTTAAGCAACGTGTCGACCTCATGCCATGTCAATAATTTCTTGGAAAGCTACTTGTCAGCATATGCGTGTCAGACACGCATCGTGTCGGAAACACGTGTCCGTGCATCATAATAAGTGATACTCAAATTAGATGCACTACTGAGAGATTTTGCAACAACAATCCATTTGTTAAAAGTAAAGACATGCTTAACAGATGAAAGCTTCAAACAGATGTGACATGAAGTGTAATTTCATAGGCAGTAGTTCATGATGTTACTGTTCGATTTCAAGCAAGTATAGAGAACCAAAATGTTGGCATTAATAATCACATGGTCCTGTGGGAGCTCTGAAACACTAAAGGAAATAAATAAGCAAATTACCCTACAAGGGACTAACATTACTACCTCTTCATATAGTTCAGTATTTATTATGCCTTATTAATTTTCCTAAATTATAAACAAATCAACTGCAGAAAATATAAGACAATCAAAAACACAATATTTCCTTTGTAGTAGCAATTGGAGACTTCATAGTCGATTCTACCTATAACACCATTCCAACAGAAATATTTGAGCTAATTTCCCTACAGTTTCAAGGGACAACCAAATCTTGGTTACATCCTGATATTTTCCTGAGGGAAAATACATATATTGACTGGGGAAAACAAAATAATAAAAAATACGGGGATTCTTTAGTTTGGTCGTGACAATAAGGGACTTTGTAAACTGTATAAAGTCCTTACAAATGGTTCTCCATTTTTTTCAAATGAGCAATATAGCACAAATTGATATACCAATAAAAAAATGGAAATTGTTTATCATTTGGAAATGTTTGTAACATACTTCATCAAGAGTGGATGGAAAAGATATGTAGATGTGTCACACTGCATATTTGACATATAACGATACTTAAAACAGGGAAAGTTTTTATGGTAATTAATGAAACCTACCCCAACTGATGATAAAGAATGTCCCAGTCCAGAAAATACAGTACCAATACATAGTGCCAGAAGCATGTATAGTATTAGCCGAAGCCAATAGTATTTCCACTCCCTTGACATAATCAATAATGATCTCCACGTCAGAACTGCAACTCTTGTTGCACTGCCTGCCTTTCCCTTGCTTTTGAGAGATGGACCTTCCTGTAGCAACAGTTACTATGTAGAATTGAGACCAAAACTATAGACTAAGATCATTCATGGCAACATGACATCCAAAGGCAGAAAGAGTACTCATCGACCATTTTTGAACATATGAATATGAATGCAATATAGCTGCCATTGCCAATATCTAATGCTTCCTAGGCCCAATAAAGGAAAAATGTGCAAGTCTCTCCATCATTACATCTAATGGAAAGAAAATTTGCTTCACATCATAAGGGAAACTATTATAAAAACAACCCAGAATGGGTGATAAGAGTAGATTACATAATTTGGTTTGTCTTTGTTTAACACACTGGATTCCACAGTGACAAACATAAAAGCAGGAAAGACATCGTACATGTTTGGGAAACATTATAAGTTCCTTATAATTTAATGGTCACGGTCAACTATTAATTTTAGCCACACATTTTGAAGAATCCACAACAACTACCAACTAATCCAACACTCATTTCTATCCCATTATAATTTCATCAACTTATAATTTTATCAAAACAAGCACAAATAACACTAGGATTATCATGGAAAATTCAAGACCTGGATAACCATGAAATTCTAGACTTGCAAATCTACTAAGAAAAATAAATGTTAACTCACTTATTGCAATGTTATAATAGAAGAGTCCCACTCTAGATATTCACCAAATCTGATTGGATTTACGACTAAGGTTATGAAGGGAATGAAACATAAAAAGTTTAAAATGAATTGTACATATCAAGAATTTCAACATTATTAACAAGTAACAACCATACCTTCTCAGTAAGCTTCAATATCATAGTCTCAACTGCAGCAGCATCCGCCGATGATTTGTAAGTTGCTTCAAGGGTACGTATTGCTACAGCAGTGTCCATATTCACCGATGAAAGTTCCCCGTTGTCATCCTGTGAAAATGTTTCATTAATGACACCGAAAGAAAAATGAAATCGTGGAAAAGATCTATAACATAAAGCCTGTTTGGTTTAGATTAAAATGGGAAATTTAGTAGAATTTGATAAAAGTTAGCGGAATGTGTGGTTGAAAAGTTGTGGGTCCCATGAAATGTGTGGTTCAAATTAATTGTTGACTTTGACTTAGATTTTAATCAATATTTCTAGTTAAACCAAACCGGGGCAAAGTATCATGTCTAATGGGACCTAAGCATAAAAAAACACTAACATGTAACAATTCTGCAGAAACAGTAAATCAATTACTAAGCTGCTAACCTGAGCCTTAATCTGATACGCTCATAACATAATCCCATGAAATAAATGTTTTTCAAACCAGAAGGGTAAGAATGTCGAAGAATAGTGAACAATGTACCTGCCAATTTTTGCACATAGCAATAATCCGGTCGAAGTCCGTATTTATTGCCCGCAGGAAGTGATCAGAAGGGCTTTGCATAATTGGGCAAGGAAATCCAGCATTTGAGAAGTGCTTCACAAATAAGCTTTTGTTAGGATTCCACAGCGTACAATGCCAGAAGAGGAAAACAAATGGGAGTTACAATGTTCTCTTTAGCATATAAAAAATTCCTGGATCCTAGTTTACATTGATATCCTCACCAAAGAAATAATGTGTGCATAATTTTGAACTACCATTCTTTTTACCTGAGTTGTGGAAAAAGGTTAAGAGTTAAAAACATTACTAATTCTGAGGGCAATCAAATGTGTTTTATAGGATGCATCATTTGATCAGTACACATTACCTGAACCTTTTCTGGAACTTAAATGACTCAATATCAATTAACTTCAAATGTTAGGTAAATCATCTTTTCAGGCATATATTACCTGCAAACAAGCCAGTGTTTCCCCAAAGAACAACATGTTCCCGTTTGAAAGAAGGCAAATGCGATCGAAAAGACCAAAAACTTCCGTGCTGCTCTGATAAATGGTGAATATCAGAGTACATCCGGTGCTTGCCAGCTTCTTCAAGGTAACCATCATCAGGAGTGCAGAGACACTGAACATGAAATAAGTTACCGGTAGTTGAAAAGGGAGAGAAGGCAATTTTTACAGAGATGAATAAAAATCAAACATATTTGTGGGCCTATGGGCTAATGTAAGATACCAAACTACACTAGGTTAAAAATTACAAAGCGATGAAGAAAAGGGAGAAGAGGTTGCATAAATATTATACACTTGAAAGACATATATCACAGTTCCCGAGTTCAAATACACTAAGACATGTACCAACAATATCTTTAAAATCTAAAAATAGGTTTTGGAGTAAAAAGAAACCTGTCAAGATGATAAAGAGGCTCGTCAATAAATAAGACACGTGGTCTCATCACAAGTTCCCTGGCAATGCTGACCCGTCTTCTCTCACCCCTAGGAAGACCCTTCATGTAACAGTGGCCACCTATGAGTTTGTTGGCATAATCCCCCAGTGACATAGCAAGGATGGCATCCTCCACCACACTCCTCTTCTGGAAAAAGAATCCAGGAAGCTGAAGCAATGCGGAGTAGTAAAGGAACTCACGTACAGTCAAGGATCCGATAAGTGTGGTCTCTCTATCAACAAATCCCTTCAAAAGACAGCTGAGAGTAAATAGAATGAAATAAAACTAGAAAAAAAGTACGTGCCTTCTCAAGTAAATATTGAATGCAGAGGTCAGTTTGCATCTGCACGATATTCACTGATGATTATTAAGTATTTTGTGATTTAGAATATAAAGGCACGATTTATGTCAGACATTTTCTCAACAAGTCATCTTAGCAGTGATTAAAATCAAATGTGTCAAATCAAGTACAAGGATGGCTTTACAAATTAAACGTCAATGGAACACATCATTCTAAACATCACGTAAATTGTTTATTAACATATTAATCAAGCTGAATTTTCACCATATGCCACTATTTTATCTTTAATTTTCATTTTAGTTAAACCATTTCAAAACAATAGAAAGTTTTAAAGTATTCATTAGCTTCTAACTCTAATACTTTGTTTTGTATGGACTAAATCGTTTGAGCATGACAATTTCAAAAATGACTTAGAATATTTGTATCTCAAATTGTCAAGTCGAAAAAATCAATGGCGTATAAGAAATATTTGATATATATAGCCTTTTGAACACACAGAAATCAATGCTAATTGACAGAACATTCAGGAATATTTCCAAGTATCTTTTTGAGAAACTTCTTCTAGAAAATTAAATTTTTATTATCTATTTTCAACTTTCTACGTACAATAATGGAGTCCTTCATTTTGTTAATGACGATGGAGAAGAGCACAAAAAAAAAATTTTCTCAAAGCAATTTTAATCAATACAATGATACACTAGCTCTAGAGGACAGTAATTTATCAGTGACTGTGGTTCAAAGGCAAGTGGCAAGCAAATGGGACTCACATATGATCCATATGGCATGTGAGATTTTACTCCATTGACATGTACCTCACCGTACATTCTTGCTGAATCAGGCAACCTTCCTAAATTAGAAAAAGGACACAAATGTTATATTAATCCAGCCAAACAGACATAAAACAATAAAGGTGAACCCACCGTCCAGTTTACTAGTAATAGTATTGGAGTGAAAACAATGAACCTGCAAGGGCTCTCAAGAGTGTTGATTTCCCCGACTTGGCAGGGCCCATAATCACTGTCATCGTTCCTGGCAATGCGTAACCATTGGAACTCTTAACAACCTTGTCCGAATATTTCCTTTTTCCCTTTATAGTAATGGTCAAATCCTTCCACGCGACCGAAGCACCTGCGATCTTTCTTGCAACAACAGCACCTTCTGGCAACGGTGGGGACGGCAGTGACCCACTATTGATTTTTGAGAGAGAAGGGGAGGCTGGAGTAGTTGCAGCATTAATGGAGTCACCTCCTCCTTCCTCCACCTTAACCTCGATATCCGTATCATCCCAGTCTGGTGAATCCTCAAATGAAATGGGCTGTCTAAGCGCACCCGGTTTTCTTAAGTAGAAGAAATTGCTCGAAGGAACCCTACTTGCTGGACTGCTTGCCGAAGATGATGAGGATCTGTAATGATCCGACTGAGAATGTATTTCTTCCATCTATTCCAACTCAATAATTTTGCAGCCTTTTTCACAGCACCCAAGTCTGATTAACACATTTTCAGACTTCACTATTATTCAAAACCCAAACTTACGCCTTAAAAAACTTTCTCCATACTGTCATAGTACATTTATAGCGATAATCTAGCTGAATCCGCAGCAAAGAACATTAGAGTTAATTGAAAGGCATTTAAGTGGCCAAAAATATAAACAACAAATCCCATATTGAGATATCAGCATCCTTTAAGATAACCATAAATTTTGATAAAAAGAAAAATTATTCCCACAAATATCAAGCTACATACGCAGAATTCAAATCTAACATGAAAAGTCCCAATAAATTAAGAACGTTCCTATCAAAAACATCTCCTTAAATCAGAAAATGTGAAGCACGTTTTTCCTAGTATTGAATGGATGATTCTGAATAAAGTTCAAGCCTTATATTATTTTACAGTTTTGCCAAAATCTGAAACTTAGCAACTTAGACCCCAAGAACCAAAGGCCAAAGTATTGTTTTCTTTTTTCTAGCAACACGAACATCTCAAAATTACATAGCACAACACACAATTGCTCAGAAATTAGCATTCCAAGAACACTCCCAAAAGTTTTCAAGAAGCTTTAACTTGAAAAGGGAATGAAGTTGAGCGAGAGAATAACTTGAGAACAAGAGACAACTAACCTGGATCTGGGGTTTGGAATTACGCAGTAGTGGGAACTCGAGTGTCCGTGAGCAAGAAAAGGTAGAGAGACCGCGTAGAGTGGGGAATGAATTGATTGTGTGTGGAATGTGAAGTCATCAGTACTGTAATAGAGTATATTTTATGAATTGATACGAATTATCTTGTCCCTTTTTCGGTTGTTGGCCTTTTGTTTTCTTTTCCTTTATTTTATTGTCTCGATCTCAAGTTTCCAAGAAAATAATGTGAAGATGTAACGAGTCAAGAAAAAGGGCTATTAAATTTGGGTTGTCTGTATACAAATTTTTTATTCGATATTTATTTTTATAACATTGATAGTACTACGTAAATACACATAATTTAAGTGTTTGAACTCTTTCATCGCCACGTGACACCATTATGTGTACCATAATGTACATGTAGCATAACCCAAATTTGATATTTATTTATATAACTTGATAGTACTACGTATATACACACAATTTATTAGACAGTTCTTAAAATTTGATAAAAGTTGAATGGAAAAAGTTACGTGTCTCGTGAAATGTCTTATTAAAATTAAATATTGACTTTGATTTAGATTTTAATCAAAAAATTTAGTTGAATCGAGCAGAGATTAAGATTATTCCAAGTATATTGACAACTTAGTCTCTCTTTAAGCTTTGTCATCTTAATTATCATGACATACTTGTACTCTTAACTTACTTGGACTAAAAACATCGGAATGGTGGTCCTCACAAGTTGCGTCAAGAAGCGCGTGCCTCAAACATCTTTGAGAATAAGAACCAAAAAAGAATAATACTATATGTACGTCTTGCATGCCAACTTGATTAACATTCCCTCCATGTGGAGCAAATATGTGCAATAATGTGATGGATGAGTTTAAAATCAATAATGTAGATGTTGTCACGTGCAAGTGAGAGTGTAAATATAGCATGACTGACCAAAAAATTGTCCTTGCTTTCAATGCCCTAGACTTGAATCACCTATAGAAATAAAGATTTGTTAGATGGTATAAGAACGTTCGTACAATCTTTATACATTTTGTCTATTATTTTCTTTCATTTTTATTAGGTATTGCAGATTTATATGGCGCTCTATCCTCAACTTATTTTATAGGACCATACCAAATTGGCAAGAAGAAGAAGGACGAGAAATTCAAAGAAGTTTTTAGCGACTATTAAATATTATATAACAAATCTAGTATTTTATGTCTTTTTATTATGTGTCTCGTGGTTTATGATACAGTATTAAATTTTCTCCGGGTTAGACTTATGCTTGGCGAATCTTAAAATATAGTGTACTCGCGTATTTTTTTTAAAAATTTTACTTACTTCTAAAAGTAAGTTTTTGAAATAAAAATTTCATTAAGGAATAATTTATTTTCAAATAAAAAGAAACTCAATCATGTAAAACCAAATAAAATATTTATAAATAATTTTTAATCTTTGTCTACACACTCTTAAATCATTGATGTTTAATGCTTGATGCCCCTGCACAAGGAATAAACAAATATCAATTAAAGTAAAGCCTATAAAAAAATAGAGAGAAAAAATTAAAGGAATCTCCATAAAAGCTTCAATTTAAATTTTGAATTAGGGAGAAATATTAAAAGCCTCCAATGACAGTATAACTACTTCCCCTTTTCCAATTTCTTTAGCTTTTTGTCCGGACTTGAGTGTGTTTGTGAAGTTTAGAGAATATGATTAGACCCAAAAAAGCTACAAGGAAAATGATTAATGTCGTTTTCTTTTCTTTATTTAATTGGAAAAATCTGAGTATGGGTCTCCAATTTACGAAAATGTTCTTCTGCCAATAGTGAAAAGTTTTATCTTACCAACTTGGAGAGAACTTTACTTACGGTTCCTCCATTTGGAGAGAAACGTAAATAAAGTGCTTCTGCCACATTAGAAAATAGACAATTTTATTTTATTCACTGTGGGCAGGAGAACAATTTCGCTCCAGTTTATTGTTCGAATGGTGAGTTAATTTTTAAACTTAAAAAATGAATAAGTTGATTTGCATAATTAGATCTGGATGATAAAATGCAAACAAATAGATTTTAATCATCGTGTACTGCTTGTGAAAGCACGTTCTGTTCCAAATTTTTAGATACCAACGTAAGTTGGTAAAGCCAAATCCAAACTTTATAAAGATAAATATATAAAGGTCACGCAATGATTCCGATAGCGGGGAAGGAAAAGGCATAGTGGGATCTTCGAACCCATTGAAATCTAATTTTTTTTAAATGATGTTTTTATTTTTTATCTTTCACACTTAGGTATATAGCCCATATTTGGTCTGAATTAAAATTTGATTTTAATCTAAGGCCATGTTTAATAGGCCAAATTTTCCTTGGAACTTGGAAAACAAATTCATTTTCCTTGGTTTTGTCTTGTTTGATGAGCTATATTTTCCCATCCATTTGTGTTCCACTTGGCTGCTCCACCTTGGTTTTAGGGTTTTGGTCGGAAAATGATTTTCCAGGTTGCTACAATTTTTTTTTTTTTTAGTAATGGAAACAAATGTTATA